AGAGAGAGAGAGAGAGAGAGAGAGAGAGAGAGAGAGAGAGAGAGAGAGAGAGAAAAGCGGTAATAAATATTAAATGAAGTTGAGACATTGATACGACTTCCTTACATTTATTACAATAGAGTATATAGATATATATAAGTATGTACAACCTATGGAGAAGATATTGTATAATATATTTGAGCTGACAAGAGTTCAAATCAAACTTAACAAATGGGTTCTTGAATAAATACGTTGCATTTACAAAATTATTTCTTGAGAAAGAACTGTACTATTGTATTCCGTTAAACCCACAGGCGTACAACAATCACCAGATAACAAACGAATACGTCACTAATCGTGTCCGTGCGCTTGCACTCTGCGTGCATCTTCTTTCACGAAATGTATCATTATGCGCAGAGTTCATTCGCACGAATCGTATCACGCACTCGTCTCTGTCCATCCAAATTGTATTACTGGATTAGTAATCATGTTTAGTGTGTAATGTAATAATTTACGTTTTCTTAATTTATAATAACTAGTTACGTTTACATTCGTTCATCATTACCCGACATGAAACATTTATTAAGTTGTCAGTATTTATCTTCTGTTCTTTTTTTTCTCTTTTAAGTACAACGGTGTGAGACTGTGGGAGAACTAAATACGATAGATGCGCGCAGTGTCAGTCGAGTGGATGGTTTCGCAATACGGTTCAAAGAAAACGCTCGATTGACATTTGAACAAACGTTTCTTCAATTTTTACCTTTGGATTAAGCAACGTTTAAACAAACGTCATAGTTATAAACATCCGTACAGAAACGCGCGTTTTCTGACTGTATTATTAAAGTCGCGAAATCGTATACTGACTTGGCTGCGTATCTCTGATAAAGTTGAGTTTTATGTCAAAATCGCAGGTTTCAAGAAAAATTTTGAGAAACGTATTTGTTCTTATACAATTGCGCCCACTTGAGCATTCGAAATGATTTTCTTAATTGTAATCAGCTTTATATCATTTATATTAATAAAAATCACAAATTAACCGTACAAAAATGTACTTGTAATTATTATTTTTCATGATAATACAAATAGCTATTTTTAAAAATAGTATAATGGTAAGTCTGAGAGAGAGGGAGAGAGAGAGAGAGAGAGAGAGAGAGAGAGAGAGAGAGAGAGAGAAAGAGCGAAAAGCGCGCGTCAAAATCGAAATAAGGATGAAAGAGAAAACAGTACACTGTTCACATTCTATGTTTGCAAAGATGTGTTGTGTGAGAACCGCCTGCCTATAGATATGTATATATAGAAACAATTTAAAAATAAAGTCCTTGTTTTATGTAAGAACTGCCGTTTTTTAGAATTACAAATCGATTTTTTTTATAATTTATCGGTTCAAAGATGTATTTCACTTAATAAACGGCTTCAAATCAGTCTTGTTATTTTTTACATAACTGTACCCATATATCTAACAAAGTGTATACATCACAATATCTTCTAAATGTTTATGATTGATAAAAAGGTGCCCCAGTGACACATAATTTCTAAGTAACTTTATGACTTTTATGAAATGAATTTATATACGTGAGTACGATGCGAAATGCGCTCGTATTTCGATACGTACAGACCTATTCGAATGTATAAAAAGTGTATAAAAAGTTACTTCCTATCAAATACAAGTGTTAGATAGAAATCGTAAAAATCATGAAACGTCGTAGGATGATTTATTGGAACCCATAATTTTATTGATGTCTCTGTACATACAATTTGTAAACTTATCCTCGTACGTATTAAAAGGTAACGTAAAAATTAGTACAAAAATTGTTCAAAATCGTGATGCGTATGACTCATACGTGCGAGTTGTATCGTTATTTCGATGATAACGGTTAATCTTGCTCTATGATAAAACAATCTCCTCTGAACCAGTATATGCATATGAAATAAATATATACATATTAGGAACTAAGAATATGACTTTGCGTCGGAAATGATTTGTTCATCTTTTCTTTAATTTTTTTTCGATAAGAGAGGCAACCCTCCACTCTGTCTATAACTTGATCGCTTAG